AACCTTAAATAATTATTCATAATCTGTGGAAATAGGGACCAAAATAGGATTGGCACAAATTAGCATACTCAGTAACTTTCCATTTCTATTTCTTCTCTTTACATTATTAAATTTGTATATCTGAACTTAATTTATGTTTGTATAGTTCTTAATTTTTGTTATATGCGTTTGAACTGTTACATGTTTGCATAATCCTGTGACATCACCAAGGAAATTGTTATCAACAGCTTCGGATAAATAGGCCGATAATAAGCTCAGATCTGAATTGCACAAGGTCAGGACTCTGAGCCGTATCAGGGCCCTTTGCACCTGGCCCTGTATAAGCCTTTTCTAGTCCTGGGTGTTGAACCTGGGCCTGCACATGCTAGGCAAGTGACATTCCCCAGAGCCACACCCAACTCAGATGCTGACATTATCTTCCCTGCCCTCTCCTGCAGTCACTGTGTTCTTAATCATTTCAACAGCAACCATTCACCTTAATAAATAAGTCAGCTGGACCCATCTCCCAGCCATGCTGGTGCTGTAAATTAGATAAAGTGTGCTTTCCTGATCTGATTACCCTCATTTCAGAGCCCTACTTATCAGGCATTTTTATTTTGATTCATAAATTCTCTGAGAGGTTGTTTTGTGTTGTCTGATGAGCAATAGATTGTCTAAGATACAAAATTGTAGATAATGACCCTTTTCGTTGGCTAGTTCCTATTAGAACCTCAATAGTATACTAACCTTGTAATGTAGGTTATCTCTGTATTTCACAATTGGTGTAGTAAATTCAAGTTATTCCATTTCTGGTTGGTAGACAAGTTATCATGTGAACTGCCACATTTTTGGTGAGGCTTCCAGTATCCTGTTATTAACCCATTAATACAACCAAACCTGTAGATAATTCTAATGGCCCCTTAAATGCTGAATACGTCAGAGTTAGCATCACCTTGAAGCTTTGCTATTTCAACCTTATTCTCACTGTGTAGACAGAGTTTAAAAAATAAACTTTCAGGGGCTGGAGAGATGGCTCAGCAGTTAAGAACACTGATTTTTCTTGCAGAAGACCCAGGTTTGAATCCCAGCACCCACATGGCAGCTAACAATTGTCTGTAACTCCAGTCCTAAGGGATCTGACAGCCTCTTCTGACCTACCCCGGCATTGCACGACACGGGTGCACTTACCTACGTCCAGGCAATACATGCAGACACATAAATAAAATTTTTAAAAAGTTTAAAAATAAACTTTCAGTCCCTTCATTTTAAACTGCTAAGTCCTCAATTTACTGTTAAGTTTATGGAAAGTAGGTATTTTATGGACTTCTTTTGACCTAAACATTCAGTTCTTTGGTTTTTACCTGTGATAATCCATTTGATAGTATTATGGCTCTCTGTCCAGCCTGGCATTCATAAATGATACAGAAATTAACATCAATCAAGTCTTGAATTCTTCTCTTCAAGAAGGGACTGAGACTGGAGTGGTGGCTCAGTGGTTAAGACCACTGGCTGCTCTTGCAGAGGACCTAGGTTCAGTTCCCAGCACTCACATGGCATCTAGCAACCATCTGTAACTCCATTTCCAGGGGATCCGACACCCTCTTCTGGACTCTGTGGGCATTGCACTCACAAGTGTACTTACACACATGCAGGCAAAACACTCATACACATAAATAAAAATAAATAAATCAAAAAAAGAAGAGGAAACTTAATGTCCTTAGGACTTTAAAACATACAGTAGGCCACGTGTATTTATTGAACCAGACTTCCAGTTGCCTTTTCATTGAGGATCTATACAAAGTTCCATTAACAATGTCAAGACCACAGCCTGTTTCACCATATCTGAATAGTTTTCAGTTAGCTAATTCACCTTTGGACATTCAGGTGACGTAAAAGACCCCAAGACTGTCTATGCCAGAAGTGCTGAGGTGAAATGAACCGGTGATGCAGTTCACACTAGTGTGTTTGCTCACAAGGCACAGTGATCACACTGCAGGCATGCTGCAAAAATCTATTAAGAAAAAAGATTTTTTATAAGGAATAAAATTAGCCTGTTCGCTTTTTCAGAATTATTTCATCTCATTTTGTTTTAACAAATTCTCAGTGGTTCACCTTAATTTTGATGCAAGGAATGAATTTTTTTCCCCTTTGTGTTAGGTTATCAGAAATGAGAGTATGAGAGTCGCTGGAGCCCCTCAGTGAGGAAGTGTAATTACTGTGTCAGCCTCATGCATCATCTGCCTCCCAGGGTGGGCGTGGGGCTGTGACAGCAGCGGCTGCCTCTTTGTCCAACCTAGGTGGTGTTCCAGTAACGCCATTTCTGTTTTTACGCGCTCACGTTCAGTTCTTTGTCTGTGTTGATTTTAACCAGTGAAAATGCTAGTTTTCATTATCACAGAAGCTAAAACTGTAAACGGTTTTATCTTCTCTCTTGCCAGTCCGTTCCTGCTGCATCGATGCCGTAATTTAATAGACCACCTGGGTCAGACATCTTGCGTCTCCTTTGTCACTAGGCAAAATGAATATCATAAGTCTGCCTTTCCAAAAAAGAAAAAAAGGGAAAAACAAAAAAGGAAACACTGCCAAGGCTCTATCCATCTGTTGACGTCAGATAGAGAACAGATAAATTGCACATCTCATTTCGTCATGTAGGAATCTAGATAAGGTGTCAAAATGAAGTCACGCCATCAGATTTATAGTGCTCATATGAAAATGCATGCAGTGATGTTTCATAGATTTGCTGGTTCTTCCATAAAGCAATATGTCATAAATATCACGCTTATAATTTCTTTGCTATCTGCTAATGCTGTGGAAGGGTTAGCTTTCCAATTCCAGATGTGAGCCAGACTGAACACCAGCTTTCAGCACACTTCTCACAGCCTGCTGTAGAGACAAGCAGATTTTAGCAAGTTCTGAGGATGGGCTGCAGGAATGTAATTATCTTGGACAACTGTTGTTCGGTTCTTGGAATAATCAGCCCGTTGTGTGCTGCTCTCTAAGCTTAACTGGCTGAATGGCATTGCAGTCCTCCTGGGCTGCACAGAGCACCCACTCTGGCCTTTAGCTGCTGCCTTTCAGGCCTGCGCTCACCTCTGTTTCTTCTCCAGTTTGGTTCCCTTGTGGCCACTTGTTGTTGCTTCTATTGGTCTTTCTTCGCAGGTCATAGGGGATACAAACAAGTGAGTTAAGTGCAAATGAAGACATTTTGTCCTCAAATTCATTGTGAATCTAAAATGTAATTCAACTGTTGGGACTTCTTTTTAGTGAGATACCAAACTTAAATATTGTGATTG